AAATGTTGTGCATCTGCTACTTCCTTATAAAACGAAAGAAACTTCTTATTATATTAATATTAATACTAATATTACTATATATATATATATAGTATATATATAGTATATATAGTATATATATATAGTAATATATATATATTTATACTATATATATATATATAGTATTAATATATATATATATATATATATATATATATATATATATATATATATATATATATATATATATATATATATATATATATATATATATATATATATATATATATATATATATATATATATATATATATATATATATATATATATATATATATATATATATATATATATATATATATATATATATATATATATATATATATATATATATATATATATATATATATATATATATATATATATATATATATATATATATATATATATATATATATATATATATATATATATATATATATATATATATATATATATATATATATATATATATATATATATATATATATATATATATATATATATATATATATATATATATATATATATATATATATATATATATATATATATATATATATATATATATATATATATATTAATATATATATATATATATATATATATATATAAATACTATAATACTATAATACTATTCTTTTAGTTATCGTTGCCAAGTTCATTGCATCATTGTAATTGGAAAAAAATATAACATGAAGTAGGAATTTGAAAATAAAATTGTAAAACCAGTCAATTTCACTGGTGTAGTAGTTTCAGTGCTAATTTTGTCGAATCGAGCGTATGAAAGACGCTACCTTCCTCGCCTTTCGTACAATTATTAAAACTAAAATATCCTGTTCAAGTACCTCGATACTCGTTTCGTAGAAATGAAAAAATTGCATCTGACGGTGCATAAAAAAAGTGTGCAGTTCTATCGAAGAAAACAGGTGACGTTGAAATCACACGAAGACACGTCCAACTGAATAAGATTCCTGACCATGCCAAGGTATCTGCCTCGAAGCAAAGTAACGTTACGCGCAATAATTTAGCAAATGTTTGCGTGGGTCGATTAAAGTAGGCCAATCTCTACAGCAAATATTCGTCTAAGAAATTTTTCTCAAAAATAAAATATTCGGTTGGCAGCTAAGCGATTGCGAATTTTGTCGATAGCATCCAATGACAAAATCCGCAATCACTCAGTTGCCAAGCCAACAATAGACTCGCGTTGGTCAAGCGATCGAAATCGAGTTGTTATCGAATGTAAAACTAATCGAAATGTAGCTGTACACCTGGCTCGATCTATCGACGAACTCGGTACGTCCATTTGGTCAGAATTTGTTGCTTTTGCGTGTTTCATCAGCCTTGATCGGTGGCTCGGAAAACGAAACGGCGAGCAACAAAGTCGGTCGATTTCGAGAACTTCTGAAAAGAATAGAGTCTCACTCGCGTGTCGCGTTTTCTCCTACTTTCGTTGCCACGATTCGTGTCGTTTTGCTCGCATCGAGGCTCTCTCGACCGCGGCCAAGCCTTCCAGTACGCAACCACGATATTTCGTTTTGCAGCAGGAAACGCGTGCCGTGTAAATAAAAAAGAAGACAATCGACAGTCTATTGAAAGATCGAGTTAAAACAAATTTTCGTTGACAATCGACGGAGCCAACGCACTGGCCAATTGTCAGCCCTTCGTCGGCGTACTGCGTCCCTTTCCATGGCAAATGAAATCTTTAAAGAGAAGCTATCGGATGATATTCGGGAGAAATTTTGAAAGATCGTGCGAGAATTTTTGCCGCATTTCCTAAAGCGCAAAAATCGAAGGAAGATGTATGGACTGTTTGAAACTCGGTATAGTCGTTCAGACTCGGCCAATGCGCAGACGACGCGAGTAAAACTGAGCTTTGGTATCGCAGGTTTCGAGCAGACGCGTTAAATTAAATGATTTCACACCTCGCCCTATATCATCGTTCACGCTCTGCCGATTTCCATTACAATTTCGTTAATTCTCGGAATTTTTTAGTGAAACTTTCAACGGGATATTCTAACGAGCCCATAACAGAAAAACGAAGTTTCCACATTCACGAACCAGCTACGTAGCTCACATCTAGAAATTGATTGCTAAGTCTGTTAGGTTTGTTCACTTAGGTGTATCCGAGGCGAGAGTGAGAAACGTGCTATGACTCGATGAAATCGAAAGGATCGCCGGCTCCTCCAGGTGATGATGCATCGCGTACATTCGCCTCTCTAATTCAAAATCGTTTAATCACAGTCTAGTTGTGTTTTAACTGGAGAAACCTTAGAAATCGGATTAACATTTCTATCGGAATTATTCGTCTGTAATTGTTAATAATTATTTGGACAAAGCTGCTGTTAAACACCAATTATAATAGAACGATTATAATATCAAATCACTATCGCTGTATTTCACGTACAATGTTAGAGAACAAAAGCGCAAGAATTAAAATAAACGGAAGTAATTGTCGTGTGAAAAGTACAAGACCCGTGCACAACCGCGTTAACTCGACCGTAGGAAAAGTGTTAAGATGGGAAATTACAAGACAAATATCCAATGTTTTGTCGCGAGATCATATTCCTTTTGCATTACGTCATTGCGGAAAAAGATATAACATGAAGTAGGAATTTGAAAATAAAATTGTAGAACCAGTCATTGTGACTACATTTTGTGGTATTTCTAGTGTTAGCATCTAGCGATCCAGCGATCGATCCGGAATTTTCCTGATAACTGATATCGTCATATCGAAGAATTTGAAAAACGTATGACAAGTTGTAGAAAACGAGGAAACTGGTTAATTGGGGTTCGATAAACAGATTGTAGCATTCTTTTACACTTTGACAAGTACTAGTCATTTTCACTGGTATTGGTACGAGTAGCCTTGATACAAAATTATCTTCAGTTTGAATACATAAAAAACAAAATAAAATTCGTTATACAGGGTGGTTGATAACTGGTGGTACAAGCGGAAAGGGGGTGATTCTACGCGAAAAAAGAAATCGAAAATATAGAATAAAAATTTTTCGTTTGAGGCTTTGTTTTCGAGAAAATCGACTTTGAATTTTCGCTCGGTACGCGTCCACTTTATCGCGTCTCGTTATAACGGATCTCACTGTAGATCGTTGTCTTGATGGAAAAATTTAAAAAAAGAAGAAAAAATTTTTTATTCTATATTTTCGACTTCTTTTTTCGCGTAGAATCACTCTATATTTGCGACTTCTGTTTTCGCGTAGAATCACCCCCTTTCCGCTTGTACCACCAGTTACCAACCACCCTATATAATATTTATCATAATATATAACATAACTGTACTTTACCTTTAATGCAAATTGGCAAATTTTGAGAAAAAGATTATAAAAGAAATGTAAAAATGATATTTACAAAATTCAAAACGGAATATATTATGAAATAAAGGGAGAATAAATTAATGCCAATTGTATTTCAATATTTGTTGAAAATCACACTAATAATACTTATTCAAAATCGTTAAGAAAAATGGAAAAATCAGTTCGCTTTTATAAACACAGTACTTACAAATAAGAAGAATCATGGTTTGGTCATAGTTTGATATAGAACACGTAGAGTATAAAGCATGAATACTGTATTCTTAATTATACAGGGTGGTTGGTAACTGGTGATACAAGCGGAAAGGGGGTGATTCTACGCGAAAAAAGAAGCCGAAAATATAGAATAATAATTTTTCGTTTGAGGCTTTGTTTGCGAGAAAATCGACTTTGAATTTTCGCTCGGTACGCGT